ACACATTTACAGGACCAAGCACCCACACAATACATACACATGTATAATAATTATGCATCCTACACTATACTATTTTAGTCAGGTTGCACTCCAACACCATCAGAACTATAATCAGCTTATCAAGTGGTATCCTATCTCCTGATTCACCACCTGATACTATCAACCTCCTCAAGTAGATCAAGTCTTATAATACAATGTTGTACTACCAGTAAGGGAATATACATCTGTAAACATGTGCAAGGAAAATTGGCGTATGAATGCAATAACACATATATATCAGTATAAATGGTCCTTGATATGTAACGATGATCAATCGATCACCCTATCAGTCCTAGAACACATACATCTGTAGGTAATACAGCCTACGACTGTAACTAAACTTCAGTATAAACACTCCTCGGCACAAGAATGGCAAACAATCACTCCTCTCACTGCGTCTTGCACGCTAATGACAACAAAACACACTAACAACTCCCTACAAGTAATCATTTAGAGCTTCCCTTCCACATCTGGAGGTTCACTACCCTGATATCTTCAGGTTCTTCCGGGCTTAACTACCAGGAACCTCTGCAGCTCCTCCAGACTGCTACACCATGAAGTCTTCCTTGGGCAACTATGGTGCTTCACTACCTCTACTAGGTTCCTCCACAGCTCTCCTGGCTGCTACACCATAAAGTTTCCTCGAGCAACAATGGTGCTTCACCACCTCTACAGAAGCACGTGACACTCCTCTTCACTGCTTCTCACAGCTCGAGGTCCTCTCCTCCACTACCTTGGAGTTTCATCAACTACTTCCTCTGTGCTGGCTTCGAAGTTCTCAGCAACTTCTTCCCCAAAGACAAACCTGCAACCCATTGACACTCCAATAAAAATGTTTCCCCTTGAACACAAACAAAAATAACAACACTATATGTTTGCCTCCAATGTCTATCTGCTCTCTACATACTGTGAGAGTGGACTCCCCCATTTTGGGCTGGTCCATGCTCCGCCTTGCCCGGCGGGCCTCCCTCACTCTGGGAGGGTCCTCAGCCTCCAGGAGCTGGGCCCCCTCAGTCACCTGCCAGCGCTCAGAGGAGACGGAAGTCGCTCTGTGTTCCTCCCTCTCCAGTCTTATTTTAGGCCTCCTGCCTTATCAAAAAATGTCTAACTTATCAATAAACATTGCTACTGTCGCTGGGCAGACGACCAACTACGAGTAATCGCTATGAACTGGCTTAAATCGTGCTTACCACAGATTGCCTAGTCGAGGGCGCTCTTCCCTCTGACAGTCTGGTCAGGGCACTCCCACGGCCCACAATGTCTCTGGGCGGCTTAATAAACACTCCTCGCCGTCCAGGACTTGAGACCACAACGTTCCCAACTCAGGTTGGCACGTCAAGTGTGCAGACGTGCCAACCACAGCTGGCACGTCTGCACACTTCTCTTCTCTTGGAGATATATCACTAGGGGTTCCTTTCTGACGGGAGCTCAAACAGAGCACGGCTTCCCTCTGCAATGTCTAGCACTCAAGTGAGCTCAAAGCCCTCCAGAAGCGAGCCTCATGCCTCCAGCAAATCATCCACATTTCCTAACCAGTCATGTATCTATTTTCTTATTCACTGCCCATAATCTTAAACTGTTTACTAAATCCAACCAACTATTTTACATCGGTGTCTTCACCTCTATAAGGTCTGGGAAATATAGTCAGGTCAGGCTTGATAGAATAATTCTCAAAGGGGAGACTCGTTTTTCGGCTGCCTGGGATCATAACAGTCCATTTAATATATATATTATTTCACTAGATACAACTCTAGGAACATTTCTTAGCATATTACCAATGTCCCATTTGCCTCTAATTGTCTAGTACACTTTTTTTTTAGATATATACAAGAGTTGTTACAATCTTGTACAGCCACTAGTACGCATAGCGTTTCGGGCAGGTCCCTGGAATACGCCCCCCCCCCCCCCCGCAAAGAACCGTTTTTACAACCAAGTACCCATTTTACTGTCGAGTTAAACAGAGGTTACAGTTAAGGATTTGCGCCCAGTAAATCCTCCCCGGCCAGGATACGAACACATGACAAAGCGCTCGCGGAACGCCAGGCGAGTGTCTTACCACTACAGCACAGATACTGGGACTTTGTTTGCCTTTTTAATCTATAGAGTTGATCTGATATCTTAGCTCAGCTTTGGCAGTTAACCATCGTGGAAGGGCTCCTCTACACACGCGTTCTAGATCACTGTTAGTTTCACCTGATTGGCAAGGGAGCACATGGTTGGAGGGTTCAGTGGTGAAAGGAGGGTTTCTTGAGATGATTTTGGGGCTTTAAAGTGTCCCCGCGGCCCAGTCCTCGACCAGGCCTCTACCCCCAGAAAGCAGCCTGTGACAGCTGACTAACACTTAGGTACCTATTTTACTGCTAGGTAACAGGGGCATAGGGTGAAAAACTCTGCCCATTGTTTCTCGCCGGCGCCCGGGATCGAACCCGGGACCACAGGATCATAAGTCCAGCGTGCTGTCAGCTCGGCCGACCGGCTTCCTAGGGCAGGGGGAAGGAGGGTGGCAGTCCTTGCTTAAAAGTTCCCTCATGCCCGTGAACAGCTCTGCAATGTTGCTAATGGATTTTCTCTCATATCAGAGCTGCTCTTTAAGCCGCTCCGTCTCCTGCTGTGGCTGCTGCTGGTGTTCCTGCCACAGTTCACGATGGTCAGCATCTGCTTGATCAGTGGAGCGACCCAGTGGCGAGTTGATATGGAGGCTGATGTTGCTATCCGTCTCAGCTTGATCCTGTTGCTTACCTCCCAACTTCCAGTTGTCTGGGGTCCAGCTGTGGGAGGTCCCCCCAGAGTAGGCGACAGTCCCAGACCCGGGGAGTGACCACTCTACATCAAGGGCGTGCCCACTACTGGCAGAACCGAGGTGTGGCCATTCTACATCAGGGGCAGACCCATTACTGGCAGAAGTTACAGTACCTGGTACTTGTGGGGAAGCTGGAGTGATGGCAGGAGTCTTTGGTCTGGCATTGGTCCCCCTTGTGGACTTCGTTATTACCAGGTGTTTAGTTTTGTAGTCAGCTGGAGTGAATATCACCTCCAGATGGCTTTGAGCAGCGAGTGGAGCTGGAGGCAGAACTTTGCAACCGTTCTTCATGGTGGTGTGGAGGGGAACGCCTTAGGCAGCAGGTTCCTGGCACTTTACGTGCATTAGGTTGAACGGAAACCTGCCGTCTGGCCCCCTGGTATACGTGGTGGTTGGCAGATGGTAAGTATTTGATAGCCAGCTGCTACGAACAACGTCCAGATGGCTCAGCACAGGTAGTAGAACCAGCAGCAGTACCTGGGAACCATCCTTCCGGGTGGGCCCAGGTGGGCCCGGCCGGGCGCCCTATGGTAAACGCCAATTACATAATCCGGCAAGGAATCATACGCCAATTATATAATCTTTTCTCCCTCTAATAATGATGAACAGTTAGCCCTAACAACAAACCTGAAGCACCACGTTACCTCGTTCCGGAGACCCAGGAATGTTCACCTCTAACACTTCAGTGTCTGCCGCCTGACCACAATATTTGTCAATTTGCAGAATGGCTGCAGCGTTCAGGGGCTACCAATACCTTGTGCAAGATGTGGATGATGGCCACGTAGCTGCAAGTGCTCAGCCTCCCAAAAGTGTCCGATGGTATATTCAGCTTGCTAGGTTATGCCCCAGCACTTTCCCCTCACACAAACTTTCCTTCTAACCCCAGCTGCAACATCACCCTCTTTGGTAATTTTTGTGTTTATAATTGATTGGATTGGTGGGATAGTAAAGACTAACAGAAGGGTGGATGGAGAGGGAAGAGGATGGAAATGTACCCAAAAATGTTAGATGAACATTAACCCATGTTACACCACAACTAAATGTTCAAATTACTGGCCAGAAGAATGGTTTACCACTCTGAAGTGGTTAATGTAGAGAGTTCTTAGGCTATACCTATTAGAAGGCCACCGCTGCAAGGTATAACATGTTAAACTTAAACTAGTTCCCTTCACCTGTTGTACTTGTGGGAATATACACACACTATATTATGACCAATTGCGATTTGAAAGTTTTCCCAAGTAACTTTAATCCCTCCATACCTGCAGTGCTGTTGTACGAGACCAATTTCTTGGGTCTGGTTGACCATACCTGCAGTGCTGTTGTACGAGACCAATTTCTTGGGTCTGGTTGACCATATCTGCAGTGCCATTGTACTGATGCACCCTCGTACATACCTGAAATTTCACATTATATTAAATACCTCAAAATGCTAAATTGAACATATCCTCATTTAAAGATGAAGAAATAACTAGACAATCGCTCAGGTCAGACTTTGTTTGATGCAAAAAGCAGGCTTATACCACAGAATGGCATAACCCAACCTCAGACTTGTCTTCTACAGCCCGTTCTCAACAACGGCCAAGTGGTCGTTAACCCGGCAGCCAAACATGAACGTTCTCAACAACAGCCAAGTGGTCGTTAACCCGGCAGCCAAACATGAACGTTCTCAACAACAGCCAAGTGGTCGTTAACCCGGCAGCCAAACATGAACGTTCTCAACAACAGCCAAGTGGTCGTTAACCCGGCAGGCAAACATGAACGTTCTCAACAACGGCCAAGTGGTCGTTAACCCGGCAGCCAAACATGAACGTTCTCAACAACGGCCAAGTGGTCGTTAACCTGGCAGCCAAACATGAACGTTCTCAACAACGGCCAAGTGGTCGTTAACCCGGCAGCCAAACATGAACGTTCTCAACAACGGCCAAGTGGTCGTTAACCCGGCAGCCAAACATGAACGTTCTCAACAACGGCCAAGTGGTCGTTAACCCGGCAGCCAAACATGAACGTTCTCAACAACAGCCAAGTGGTCGTTAACCCGGCAGCCAAACATGAACGTTCTCAACAACGGCCAAGTGGTCGTTAACCTGGCAGCCAAACATGAACGTTCTCAACAACGGCCAAGTGGTCGTTAACCCGGCAGCCAAACATGAACGTTCTCAACAACGGCCAAGTGGTCGTTAACCCGGCAGCCAAACATGAACGTTCTCAACAACGGCCAAGTGGTCGTTAACCTGGCAGCCAAACATGAACGTGAAGAACACTTCACATTTAACTTGACCTCGGTCTATGCTCGTTCGTGCACTGACCCACAACAGTTCACACATTTTAACACAAGATTTATTTAAAACAGTTTTTGGTACGTAAACTATTATAATACATTATTATCTATGAGACGAGGGAGACAGGTGGGAATACACTCACGTGCTATAATTTCCATCAACAACTATCATAGTTGATGGAAATTATTTAAACTTTACAAATATTTAAATTACACACAATTTTATTGTTCATTAATATATATTTGTAGTGAACAAAATATAGTACTTGGTTACACTGGACGTTAATGTTAATTAAGGCGTCTCTGGGGATGGCGGCAGCGTGGACGACACTGACTCAGGATGGACAGTTTCATTCACATGGGATGGGGGGGGGGTTATGTGACGCTTGCTAGACTAAAAGTCTTTGGTCCGTATTTCAAAGATTGAGATCTGATCGTTAACAAACACCTTATAACTGCCAGAATTTAACTATAATAATAATTGTATAAACTTTTTTACACCAGCTTTGGGTCGAACGGTCAATTTCACTATAAAGTTGACACTCAAGCCGCTGTTGTGGAACAGTTAATCACACGTCTCGTCCAATAGACAAATGTATTTTACTCTATCTTTACAATTGAGTAAACCAAAACATTGATTTTTTTAAATAAAACTTTAACGTCTTTAACTATGCCTATTTAGATAATCAGCAAATATAGACTGTTCTACCAACAGAATACAATGTGATAAAATAACTAATCATCTAGAGTAACTTGCCTGTAAGCCTGGCGCAGGTAACCTCATGCACAGGACTGTCCAGGTGACTAATTTAGTAAAACCAATGAGGCGGGCGCTGAGCAGCACCTCTCCCCACGCCGGCCCGCGCCACACTGCCCGCCGCGCCTCTTGACTAGCTTGGCCTGATGGGTCAACTACCTGTGACGTCATTCACCTCACCTGACATGAGGCCGCCTCACATACAAATAATTCACAAGTAAAGTCACTTCAACAATATTAATATAGTTTATTTCTATTAATGTGAAGTATGAACATGTGAGAGTATGTATTAAAAGCACATACTTCATTACTGGACATTAAACCCACTACCACACCCACCTAGTAGCTTGGAAGCTCCATAACGCCTTCTGTAACTGTTATGTTGGGGTCTAGGCCAGGGGCCAGTACAGCAACCGGTTACGGTGTTCAGCGTCCTGTGTGTGTGTATTTACTGTGTGGCTGTAGGGTCGGGCTCACTATAGCCCGTGCTACATGGACATTCCCTTCCGGGTACATAAATCTAAAACAACAAACATTTCGGGTTGAACTCTTAGCTCTTGGACCCCACCTTTCTAATCGCTGGTTGTGTAATTTACCTACTCCAGCCCTATTTTCCCTCTTTCATACTAAATGTGTTTTTTCTCTTCCTCCCACATCACCAGGAAGCAGCCAGCAGCAGTTGTATAACTCCCAGGTACCTGTTTACTGCTAGATGAAAAGATATATCAGGTGAAAAAAAAACTGCCCATGTCCTATGTCTCGCCCGGGAATCAAACCCGGGCCCTTAGGACAACGACCTCAGAGTGCTATACACTCTGTTGCAAGGACTCGTGCATGCGTGTATGTGTTTGTGCGGACTCGCATTGATGTACTCGCCTAGATGTGCCTTCATGGTCAAGCTAGGCTTTTAGCCCCACCTTCTAAATATTCTTAGGTTATTGCAATGTCTGTTTTATCCCACTTTATTCATAATTATATTAAACAATTTATATGTAAATAACTTCAACGTTTAGCCAGTTCCATTTATTGACAGCTCTGACACTAAAAAAGTTCTGTCTGACGTCCATGTGACTCATTTGGGTCTTTAATTTCTTTCTATGACCCCTCGTTCTGCTGTTCTTTGCTTTGAACAATATTATTTTGTCTGCCTTGTCAATTTCCCTTAGAATTTTATATATTATCATATCCCCCTTCTCTCCCCTTTCCTACAGTGTGGTAAGGCCCAGTTCTCTGTCTTTCCTTAGAGCATAAACCCTTCAGCTCAGGAACGGGTCTCGTTGCATATCTTTGGACCTTTTCTAGTTTTTTCTTGTCCTTTTATAGGTAAGTTCCATGCTGGGGATGCACATTCATATGTGTGGGTCTCACCTTTCCTGTATATAGGGACCGGAAAGCTCTTGTCCAAATTTCTGAAGGATACACAAATGTTGGCCAAAATGGTTTATGCAGCTGTTATTCTGCTAATGTGGGGCTTCTGGCATCACAAATGGCGTTATGTCCACTCCCAGGACTTTCTTCTTTTCCGATAATATAATGTTTTCCTCTTTATTTTATATTGCTGTACTGGTCTTAGTGCGCCTGTTGTTGTTGTTATAGATTCAGCTACTCGGAACAAGTTCCAAGTAGCACGGGCTATGGTGAGCCCGTTGTGGACTTACCTGGCACAGGAGCGGTGTGTGCGCCTGTTCCCTTTCTCATAACTTTGCATTTGGCTGGGTTAAACTAACAACCATTTTTGAGAACATTTTTGAAGTATGTCCAAATTTGATTGAATGCTCACAATCCATCACTGTCCTGACTTCTCATTAGCTTTCCATTATTGGTAAATATTGATACAAGAGAATATTTCCTCTGTCCGATGATTGACATAAATTTTAAACAGTTGGGTCCTAGAAGCGACCCTTGTGGTGCTCCAATTGTAACCTCTCTCTACTTTGATGTATCTGTCCTTTTGATTGCTTCTTGAGATATATTATCTGACCCACCTTAGGACTTTTCCTGTTACACCAGCCTGTTCCTCTAATTTGAGTAGGAGTCTTTCATGCAGGATCGTATCAAATGTTTTCTGGCAGTCGAGGAATATGCATTCTGCTCATCCTTCTGTCTTGCTTGATTCCCGTCATCTTGTTATCAAATTCCAGCAAGTTTATCAAGCCGGATTTTTCTTTACTAAAACTGTCCTGGCGCCTCGAAACAAAACCGATTTGTTCTAAATGTTCCACAGGCCAGCTACGGATCTGTCAATCTCTAGTAACTTGTAACAGTATAAGGAGCAAATAAAAAATAAAATACTCCCATCTATCACAAGTCACCACAGAGCTAAATCAGCGGAAGGAAGACTCACTGATGTAATAGAAACAAGACACTGTGTACTCCTCTTTCGAACCTGCCATTGTGATAGATGGGAGTGTTTTATTTTTGATTTGTTCCTTAATCTGTGAAAAACTTGTTATTATAACCTTTACAACAGGTAGAGCAGTGACAGTTTTTGCTAATGATCACTATAGCTACTGACTCATCACAATATATATGTAGTCTGCTTTCTGTAGTCAATTCTCTAATTATACAATCATATGTTGCTCTCAGCTTTCCTATCTCATTCATACTTTTTTTTCTTTTGCACTGGAATAATTACTACATCTACGTTACAATCCCCCCATGGTAGTGGGAATTCTCTCTTCGGCAAAGCAATACATTCTGGAATACCATCATGCTTTATAAGATTAGAACATAGGGTACTCATATTCTCTTATTATTCATTAACATTCATTGTTCATTACATTTCATAACAGACATTAATTCATTAGCTCCACCCCCTCATTAATCTAATCGCAGAAGCTACATTTATCTCCAAAATTACATCCCGAATACTCTGTAGGGACCCCAGACATGAGGGCCGAGTCATTCATACCTGCTTTCCTTAGGTTTGTGGCCCATCGATACTGTCCAAACTTTATTATCTCAGTCATTGGGTCCGAATTTATGGCAGGGGAAGCATGTCTGAGGGAAGTCTGGAATCATCCAGTGGTATAAACTGCCCTAAATCAACAGCAGTGCCACTGGAAGTTCATAACCCCATCCTCCTAGAGGACCGTGGCATGGAGGACCGGATGGTGGGAACAGTCAAGTGGTGTTTAAGGAAAACCCACCACCACTAAAAGATTGATCTACAAGAGCTTCACACCATCGTCACCGAAATTGAATCAAGGGTCAATAACAGACCACTGACCAACTTCTCTGACGATCTTTCACAACGGGACCCATTAAGTCTATCTAATCTGATGTATGGAGGAATTTGTAACCATCTAGCGTTCCTCAAGGCAGAGTTGGTGGGAGGCAGAGTTGGTGGGAGGCAGGGTTGGTGGGGAGGCAGGGCTGGTGAGAGGGAGAGATGGTGGGAGGCAAAAGATGGTGGGAGGTGAGGATGGTGGGAGGCCGAGATGGTGGGTGGCAGGGTTGGTGTGTGGCAGAGTTGGTGGGAGGAAGGGATGGTGGGGAGGCATAGACGTCAGAAAAGAAGGTAACTGCAGAAGGCCTTATTTCAAAACATGAGAGGCTTGCTTTTACTTAATGAGTATTTTTAATTTGTTATATGCTACAGTAAGGTGTGAGAGGTATGTTTTCAGTGAATGTGAGATGTGCATATATATTTATGCGTTAATTCAGTAATATTGGATTACTACTGAAATCGCATTGAAGTCACCACGCCTGGCAGGGGACTGTTTTCATACAAATGGTTGGTAGTGGGTTTTCATTTTTATTTGCCCTATGCTACATAAGCAATCTCTGAAGAAAGATTGACAAAGCTTAAAAAACATTCACTAGAAAGGCGAAAAAGACATAGTGGTGACATGATAGAGGTGTGCCTGAATGGATTCATGAACTATAAGGCAATCACTAGCAGAGGTAACTAAAAACTGGTACGCCAAGTCAGGACCTTTTAATTCCCTTGAACGTACCTGTGCAGGAACGCTGAGCGGCTACCTGGTGACGTCATTGACCATTAGCGATGTCTGTGCAAGGGTCATTGGGGTAACTAAAAATGGGTATGCCAAGTCAGGACCGTCAAATCTCATTGGGGTAACTAAGAACGGGCACGCCAAGTCAGGACCGTCGAAAAAAGCAAAACGGTACTGACTTGGCGTACTCTCCACTACTCATTGTCCCCCGTCCTCCCAACTCCACCAGCCTCTCTTCCTTCCCACCGTGCTCCACTCCCCTGTCCCTTCGTCCTACCCACCATTCTCTATTCCCCCAACCCCCTCTTTCCCATCATCCCAAACTCCCCCCGTCCCCTCGTCCTTCCCCACCATTACCCCCTCCCTTGTCCCCTCGTCCTTCCCCACCATTACCCCTTCTCTTGTCCCCTCGTCCTCCCCACTATCTCTCACTTCCGTCTCCTAGTCATCCCCACCATTCCCCACTCCCTCGTCCAATGCCTTCCCAAATGGTCTGATGTTCCCATCAGAAAATTGGGAACATCAAGTGATCTGATGTTCCAATCACTGAAATATAAGAAAAACAGTTAAAAATGAAATTAAATAATGAAAAAAAAACTATTCTCACGAAATGAACGGTATGGTAAACAACAAGGCTCAATTCCAACGCAATTCAAGCAAAATAATTCAATCAAAATGCAAATAAATCAAAATCTATGAAAATTGCATTTATCAATGCAGTCAGAAACATTGAAATGGAATTGTTACATATTTAGTATATTATGTGTGTGTGTTGCTCTTACATGCAACAGATGGCGCTGTTAAAAAAAAAAATGTTTTTTCCCGTCACAGGTGAGGCATGTATATAGTAGATATATAAAAAGACGCGCCTATTTGAATGCAGCGTTGTGTCAAAATTTCAAAGCAATCGGTAAAGAAGTTTCGAAGATTTCCCTCACTTGAAAAACACAGTTTTTCAGAGAAAGCATGTTTTTTGTATCGTCACAGACGTGACATCTATATAGTATGTATATAAAAACATGGCCGGATGCGAATGGAACATTGTGTGAAAATTTCAATGCAATCGGTGAAAAACATTCGGAGATAAACGATTTTGAACAAACGAACATTTCCATTTTTTTATATATTTTTATAATATATATATATATATATGTCGTACCTAGTAGCCAGAACGCACTTCTCAGCCTACTATGCAAGGCCCGAATTGCCTAATAAGCAAAGTTTTCATGAATTAATTGTTTTTCGACTACCAAACCT